TAGACACTCCAAACGATTGGCATTGTTCCAGGTTAAACTATGCCAAGTAGATTTATGACATAATAGTTACAATAAACACGTTCCAGGTTTCAAAATGGTTCTGCATATGTAACTGTTGAAACTTAACTAATGCATGGAATAATAATGCAACACAAAATGTACTTAGAACAAAATGTATTGAAACAAGAAAGTGTACACAATATTTACATATAGTCTTTTGTATATTCCTGGAGAATGTGTTGACTGAGTCGCAGTCGGGCAGAGTCTCTGGTTGAATCTCTTGATTCCTGTATTTATCTATCCACCCACGAGGATAAAATATGGCACAAGGCCGGTTTAAAGTGGGTATCTCCGAGCCCGTAGGCTCGGCCAAAAATATAGCCTTTCTGAACCCGCCTAGATGGGTTCAAGGCCTGTCTACCACCCCGGACGAAACCCTGCCTCTCGGCAAAGCCTCGTCCGGGTCCCTCACTGCAAAATGCAGAGAGTTCGACTGAGAGTGAATCTCTTGATTCCTCCCTCTCTTCCCGGTACCAACCATATTTATATGGTCGGTACTCCACTATGCAAATTAGGTGGATCCTACCACAACAGCAACAATAAAAATCTACTCTTTTGGCGTATGTTTTTGATTCTTCACTTACAGGAAATTTAGATGATTCACTGACAGGAAAACTTTGACATCATAATTTTGGTTTTAATCTATAGAATATAAGCCAATCCTGCTCCAAAGTAATTCTATTTGTCTAATTCAAATTCTCTTTTAATACGAAGCCCAACTATTCTTTGGACGACGTATCGGTAAGTAAAGGTAATTTTTATTTTTCTATCTTTTTAATCTATTCTGATGTACATTTTCTAGAATATTTCAAACATGCTAAAAATAGGTGTGTCTTTAATGAATGAACAAAAAAAGATCATATTTACAATTAAATAATATGCAGCTGTAACATGTGAGACTCATGTTATGATAATGTTTAATGGGTTGTTCTAGTTGTCCATTACTACGGAAACGACATTTTAATAATCTCTGAGTGTCTCATACTTGTGGCTTTGTGTCAAAACTAAGCTTCTTCTACTATGCCCCGTGTCTCTTCAGAGCGTGGAGTTCATGACACTCCACAGCTTCCTATCCATTTTACTATCTCTCCAAATCTATTAGTATTATTTTATTCCGTTGTAAGCTTCTATAGACGTGCGTGCCAGAGGTGAGATGTGTTGAGAGGGCGACCCGCTTAACGAGTGCGTCGTTCTTTTGCGTAACGCACGTGTTGTCGCTTGTCCCACTCTGTCCTTTCTGATCTAAGGGAACAGTGTTCTTTGAATTGTCGTTTGCTCTAAAAAGAAGTAATTAATAAAGATAACGTATCCAGCGCATGCTCTATCTTATCAGTATCCTTCAGATCGTTCTCAGTCAACTGCAGATAAGAGAGTTAGAGCGTCCCCTTCCAGAAACAAGGGAATAAAACTTGTAAGGTCAGGGATCTTTTTTCAACCTCGCAACCAATTTCACCTTTGACCACCAGGTAATCACGTCTCTCTCTTCACTGAAAGACTTCACCAAATCAGTGTTTTATCATTCACGGTAGCCCAAATAGCTTGTTTTTTTTTTTTTGTTTTTAGGGGGGATTTGTTTTTCGTTCCGAATTCCACACGTTTGTTGCTTTACTTAGTTCTTACTCTTTCACTGAGCATCCTACGATCGATCGATCGTCCGTGAAGTTGCTTGATATTTGATTAAGGTTCCCTATCAACAGGTTTATCGTTGACTCATATAACCATTTTTCTACCCACAATTCCTGTTATTTCACCATCCATTATAATTATGGGTGAGGCAGGTAGTATCCATTTGACACAATCCCTTTACAGTTTATCAATTTTTTAATTAACCTTTTAACGGGTGCAACTTTCTTTGTCTCTTGTTCCACACCGTCCTTTCTGATCTAGAGTCTACTGTCTTATAGAGAACAGCGTTCTTTGTATTATCTTTTGTTTTGTCTAAAAAAAATAATTAATAAAGATGCCTTATTCAGCGCATGCTCTAACCTACCAGTATCCTTCCAATCATCCTCAGTCAACTGCAGATAGAGAGTTAAAGCGTTCCCTTCCATCCATCCATTACAATTATGGGTAAGGCAGGTAACATCCATTATGACACGATCCTTTTTTCAGTTTACTAATCTTATTCTTCTAATAAAAGGTACATTTATATCTCATTCAATTATAAATTCCCTATTATTTGCAATGAAGTATAGCCACTTATCGGATCAGTTTTCAGTAAAATTCTGCAAATTTTGATGTGAAAAGTTTGCCACGAACTCTTGAATCTTGTTTGCATTAGAGAATGTTTTGATAATCACAGCGTTTTTCAGCAATCGAAAAAGATAATAATGGGTTAATTTAAGGTCAGGTTAATATGGCGGGTGGATTTCAGGATAGACTCACGGGGTTCCAAATCTTTTTTTTTTCCAATTTTATTTTAGCTGTATGCGGCCTTGCGTTGTCATGCAGAAGAAAGACTTTCTTCGTTGAATCTACTGTCTACATGAACGAACTTTCAGTCCCTCCATCTGTGGTGTTAGGAAATTTATTCTTTAATCTACTGTGTATGCTGATATAAGATATTACAGTTCAAATTTATTCTTAACTGTTAAGTATGATCAAAAGTTAGGATGATATGTTTGCCATTACGGTTGGTTACCCAGACGGAAATTACTTATGACTTAAGCTAATGATTCCTCCAACTTGACTGGTATAAAAGTAAAAGGTTTTAATAATAAATTGTGAAAAATGTGCTTTTTTATTGTTCAGTATTTCAAGTTCATTTTATATCAATATTGTCGTCACCTACTCTCATCCTATACTTGCTTAATCACCTTTCACTTAACATGATATCCGCAACAGACAATAAAAAAATTTCATTGGTTAACATCAACTAATAAACATCTCGTTAAAATTAAAATCTCTGTCTGGGATCCCATCGTCGGGTATAAAATCTCGGATTCGAGAAAGCCCGAGGGTGACATTCCTAAAAAGAATTTCATAAGTTACTCGATGAAGATTTCCCTTCTTAGTTGATTTCACCTCACAAGAATATCATATAAAGACACGGAAATTTATTTCTCCTCAAACACGAATTAAGTGGATCTTTCAGCTAACTTTGTTTTCACTATTTTAATAAATGTTGTATTTATCTAACTCAGTAGTAAGCTGCAAATTCATATTGGGTGCGGTAGAAGGAAGATGGAAAAACAACAAAAAACCTTCATAGACAGATACAGAATGGTATATCTACAACAAAAACATGAAACACCTAAAATTTCTAGCGCCCTCCTTTTTCCCAATGCTGACTGCAACAATATACTGGATGTAAGATGACATTAAATATGGTTGCACGTTAGGTTAAATGAATGTAGTGTGGTAGTAAAAGGTACGGACAGCATACATACAAAAGGTCAATGAAAAATGGAGGATTGTTAACCCACCAAATAAAGTTCTGTTTATATAAATGAAGTATTTTTTGACCGAAAATCAAGAATCTCTATCTATAAAAGGCAGGATGTGTGTGTGTGTAACGAATGCACGGCCGCAATTTTCGACAGATTTGCACCAAAATTTACATGCACATGCTCCAAGTTAGTAGGAAGACCAAGACCGACTTTGCATTTCCCAACTCCCATCGATAGTGGAAATAATCGATTTTTTCATGCTTCTACAGCAGTTTTCATGTAGTTTGCGGCCATTTTCTACTGGCCAGAGTGAGAGCCTATAGCTGGCTGCCACGAATAGGCAGGAAGATTCTATTGGCCAGCGTGAGAGCCAACAGCTGACTGACACGAATGTTAACTAGCATGCTAGCATGCAAAAAAAAAAAAATCGATAGCTGCATTCGTCACAAGTGGGAAAAATTTAAATCTGCATGGCACTTTACTCCAATTGGCTCATTTGCTTGCTTAAACTCAACGTTGATTCTGATTCCGCAGAACTGGGTTGGGTGTGAAAAAGTATTTGTTGTTAACATTCTTTTTTCATTCGGTTTTTCCAGTTACAAGTCCTTTTTTAAAGCTGATCATTTTGTGTTCATTTTGTTTAGTTCTTTTTTCGTAACAGATTTAATGTTTAGTATGAGCTTAGAAAAAAATTGCAATGTGAGATTGGCAAGAAGTAAGGCATGTAACAACATCAGCACGCCAAAGGGCACTCCTTTAAAGGCAAGGAAGGGCAAAAATATTTTAAGTCAAGGGATAGCGATTGCTGTATGAGTCGTGCGATTTTTGAATCAAGCACGCGCAACGCCGGGCCATGCTGCTAGTGAAATATAAATGAAGGAAACAAATCAAAGAACCGATATATTTTCCTCTAAAATAAAATTGCAAGTGTTTATTTAAATGCCATTTTAATTTTTCTGCTTTTTCTTCCAGAATTACCCGAACATTACCATGAAACTGAAAACGATTTTGCTACTTGCAATCCTTACCATTCTCCCAGCACATATGACCACCGGACGAAATATCATCTTTTTGTCCTTACCTTTTTATGGTCACTTGAATCCGATGGTTAAAACAGCTAGCGAACTCTCTAAGCTTGGACACACCAGCTATATTTTAGTTTCCGAAAGGTATCGTACAAAATTCAATTCGCCGACAGCAGGTGTCAAATTTATCACATTCGAAGAATCCTCAGAATTCTTGAAATTAAAAGAAGAGACTATCAAATTCTTTTCTTTAACGGGTAAGCTGTCCATGGGAAACATGATACGTTCTTTAAACAAAGTCTTTGACCATTACCTTTTCAACGAGAAACTTTTCCTAACACTAAAATCCCTAAATGTTAGCCTGGCCATTGTTGATGGTAATTTTATGTGTATGTTTTTGGCGATTTTCGCTCACAAACTTGACATACCGTTTATATTTTTAGGCTTGCATATACAAATGCCCTGGCATCGTACGCCCTGGGCACCTGCTGTATTTCCAGTTAAACTTTTTCAGTTTTCAGACAGAATGACATTTCTGCAGAGACTGGCGAATTTCTTATTTGTAACTGCCGAATATATCTATCCGTTGGGAATTCCAAGTCGAAGTGTTCAAGAATACGCCCCTGAACGGCCAGAAATTGACTATAGAGATCTGATGAAAAAAATAGAATTATTTATCATTGATACGGATACGTACCTGGATATACCCCTCTCAGCACTGCCCAATGTTAAATATATTGGCGGTCTGGCAACTGGGCCAGCAGAACCTCTACAAGGAGACATTCTTGAGTTTGTCAGTAAATCTCAGTATGGAGTCGTCGTTGTATCACCAGGAAGTCTTGTCAGTTGGCATAGTGATCACTTAAACAAAATGGAAGAAGCGTTCAGTAAGATCAAATACGATGTCGTCTGGAAACATTCAAATACATCTTATTCCCGCTCAAATGTTCTATTAACAAAATGGCTGCCTCAGAATGACCTACTTGGACATCCAAACACCAAATTATTTATCACCCATTGTGGTAACAGTGGTCAGTATGAAAGCCTCTATCACGCTGTTCCCATGATTGGCTTTCCTGTTTTTGCTGACCAGTTTTTTAATAGTCATCGATTACTTATTAAAGGATTCGGCTTGTCAATGGACACGCATAAATATTCAGTAGACGAATTGGTAAGAAATATTGAGGAAGTTATTGAAAATCCTAAATACAAGAAAACCATTGCCAAAGTTAGCGAGATGTTTCGATCTCAGAAAGAACGGCCGGCAGAAAAAGCAGCCCGCCATATTGACGAAATTATGAAATATGGAGGCACACATTTGAGATCAGCGTGCCAAGAGATTCCTTTGTATCAGTTTTTAATGTTGGACATCTGGGCTGTTCTTTTGTCGGCTCTTCTTGTCTTCTTCTACCTTATTTTCTTTATATTGCGAAAATGTTTCAGATTTGTTTCGAGAAGAAAATCAAAAAGAGAATAAATAATTTGAACTTCTGGAATGAGTATTTATCATTATTTATCTTATTTACAGTTGAACTAATATCATTATCTGTGTTGTTATTATAACAACAGAGTTTCGACCGTTGTGCACTTTGAACTTCTTCAGTTGTCTGATGATTCGAGCAACTTTCACGGAACTGAACGGTATTTCAACTTTTCACGGAACTGAACGGTATTTCATTTCTGCTGTTCATGTTTAGGAGTATCTGGTCTTGATTCTTTTTATTTAGCAATGCTCTGTTATTACTCGCCTTGTTTCCACGGCGTCTGTAATACATGGCCTTAGGACTAAACTTACAAATACAATGGCGCCCAATTTACAAAACGACACATTAATACACTAGTCTCGGCTTAAATTAAAGAGTAAGTGGAAACTTGAAAGATTGTAGGAATAAAGTTCAGTGTCCTCTTGTGATATTGATCTGTTCCCGAACGAACATATAGAACATTTTTTACACACACCCATATTTGATCGAAGTAGCTAAGTGGTTTTGGCTACAATAACCAAGTAGAATATGGTAGCAGTAATCGACTGGTACGCGTAGTTTAAGGACAGTAAAATCGACCTTGCTAACCGAACGCTCCTCTGTGGCCAAATCGGTTAAAGACACGTCAGGCTATATGACGGTTGCGTGTAGGATACAGGTTCGATTTATGTAGGAGGACAAATATTTTCTATGAACATTTATCGGACATTCAAGCCGGTAAATGTTGTTTAATACTGTTTATTATAAAGAGAGCATTTACATTTTATTTGTATCTATAAAAAGAATGTATAAACATAAAAATGTCTCTCTCTCTCTCACTCTATATATATGTGTGTGTGTGTGCGTGTTATGGTCCAGAATGATGATGATATTTTATCATTTTAAAAATAAACATTGGCATCAGTGTTGATAAAAAATAAGAATATTTCATCTCCCTAACCCTCATGATTATAAAAATGACCCTTCCAAGAGATTCAGTAGAGAAGCGTAGACTAGGGTACCCATACCAGTAATCAGTAGTACCAGTAGACAAGTAACAGTACAGAAACACATGTCTGCCAGTGCTCCGGGAATATCGAAAACATACGATTTCAAACGCATCCTCATAAACAAGATTCTCGGAACCAAACCAAGTAAGCACTGAATTTTAAACGAAAGAGACACTGAGAACATTTTTTTTTACACACACCATACCAATATTCTGTAATTCACATTAGTGAAAAGTTAATACAAATTCCTGTTATTTATGTCAACACGTGTCTCAACTTTTTTTTATTTTTGTTATCGCTGTACATTTATGCATTTTAATTCTGTCACATCAACACCCCCCCATTACCGTCAATAAATAATACAACAGGGAAAATAATACATCAACACCCAATATTACCTAACCCATTACACACACATCTACGCGCGCGCACACACACACACACACATATATATATATATTTTTGTAGGTACAAAATTTAATGACGGAAATAAAAGTGTAAAACTTAAAATTACTAGACATATTAAAAACAGGCGAAGCAACCGGTTTCGCTCCCGCTCTTCAGGCTTCAACGGGAGATTTAATTTAAATTAAAACACAGACGATGTATGATAAAAATGAGGTTGTAGAGGTGAGGAAAAAATAAATAAAAAAAATGAGCAAAAGGAACTAGAGACAAATGAGAGCAACCCCCAACAAACACTCACGTTGTTTACACAAAGAAGGCTTATACCAATATATATATACTAAAAATATATCAATATATATATATATATATACTAAAAATATATCAATATATTTTTAGTTGTAGGTGAAATTTTAAATACACACACACACATACACACACACACACACACACACACACACATATATATGTGTGTGTGTAAAATTACAGATATAAATAAAAATATATCTGTAAAAGTTCAATATGAATAAAGGAAAAAAGAAAAACTAAACGTAGCCGACTCGTTTTGTCCACTGGTGAACATTATTAAGGCAAATGTAAAGATTTTATTTTGTAAGTAGTATTTACAAACACAAGTAAAAATGTTGTTAGTTGTTTAAAAAAATTAATTTAACAAAACGCTTATAAACATTCATCGGGTTAACTGAAAAGTCCAGGTAAATTATGAATGAAACCAAACGTCATAATTTAATGTTTACTAAACAAAAGTGAATAAATGATGACGTTTTTGAATTTCTTTGTGTATAATGTAATTAAAATTTCTTTTAGTTTGGGTATAATATATTTGTGATGTATTTTGAATAAAAGGAACCTGTTAATTTAACCATTTTAAAAAAAAATTTAATATTTTTATATTCATATATATATGGCTCGAGAAAAGAGTATTTCTTTCAGCAATGGAGATATTTTTTAAAAGCTTGGAGCACAGATTTGTATTTTAATAAGATTCTATAGCGCACTCTAGAGAATTTTCTGTCTACGTAAGAGACTTTCGCTTTTAATAAAAGTGGCATTCTTTAGATCGAAGGTGTGAGTGAATTTCTTTCTTTGTATGACTAATACATTTGATAAATTGTTGTGTATAAGATCCTTTTCGGGCTCATATAATATTAAAAAAATGGGAGCTAGTAATATACATACTTATATTTGTTATGTAATAATTTTTAAATAATTTAAGTAATTCTGTTACATTTATTTGTTTTAAAAAGAAATATTGTCTATTAGTAATTGAGAGTAAAAAAATAATATTTTAAAATTGTAGTTCAATATAACGTATTCTAACCAAAAAAACCCTCTTAGAAAGAATATTTATATATACAAGTACGAATTTAACAGGAAAAAATGGCGAAAAACATTTTCTCGTTGATAAAATAAAATAAAAACAGACGACATGTATTTAACGGATGTTATAATTCGTTGAAAAATGCACCCCCACCTTACCTAGACTTAACCTCTTTTTCGAACGTAACTCATAATTGATACAATAAGTGTTAATAAATGTCTAAATCATTGAATTTCTCTGTGTCCTTGGAAACAATAATTATGAATTGTATGTGCGTTTAAAACTCAGTAAATTTAAAAATAAGTGATTCGAAAATTCGCTTGAAGATGAAAAAGGACTAATGTTTTTAATTTAATTATATTAGTAAATTTAATTATATAAGTGAATTTGAAGTTTTTAGCTTCGGTGTTTGAAACAAGGTAATTCCTGTGTAACGAAGAAACCGTATTTTAAATCAGATAATTTATAATATTTATGCTCTGTAAATTTACATTTAGCACTGTTTTGTAAAAATAAAACATAAAAATATAAATAAGAACACCGGATTATATATCTTACTGTTCTTTCTTTTTTTTTATATATATATATATATATATATATATATATATATATATATATATATATTGAATATATATATATATATATATATATATATATATATATATATATATATATATATATATATATATATATATATAAAAAAAAAAGAAAGAACAGTAAGATATAAAACCGGTGTTCTTTTTCGCTTGAAGATGAAATGGAACTAATGCTTTTAATTTAATTGCAAAATTAAATTCAGGGTTTTAGCTTCTATTTTTGAAACATGGTTGGAACTGTGTAGCGAAAAAACATATTTTAAATCAATTAATTTATAATATATATATATATATATATATATATATATATATATATATATATATATATATATATATATATATATTCAACAGCATCACTTGATAAGACACCAGAAGTGTTGAAACAAATTGGCTATTTTTGTAGTGATTTTATAACATGTTTATGTTATAATTTTTAATAAATAATATATATATATATATATATATATATATATATATATATATATATATGATTTTTATTTTATAATTTATATATATACTTTTATACTTATAAGACAATAGGAAAACTGTAATATTAGCCGACGCCTTTCGTCGAATGTCTTTCATCTTCTTTTTTTATTATAATACACACACACACACACACACACACACACACACACACACACACACACATATATATATATATATATATATATATATATATATATATATATATATATATATATATATATATATATATATATATATATAAACAAGCAAGTAAACAAACCAGGCATCCCAATGCGCCTTATGATATCAAATATAAGCTGT